AGACAACGCATCCGTGAACACATCAAGCAAGAGCTCAGGGAAGTGCCAGGGCACTGAACCCCGAAAAACTTAGATCTAAGAGGAAGCCAGCGATGCAGCAACCAGGGTTTTTAATGCCCCCGGAGGCCGGACCCGACAATCGCGAGAGAGGCGGAAGGGACGGCCCAAATGGCACCAGAACAGCTGACGAAGCCACACCCAACCCGGCAGGTATACCAACACGGCAAAGTTCAAGCTCCCGCACAGACCCTCGAGCAACTGGCAGGTGACCAGGAAGCCCGCTAGAAACAGGCGAAGAAGGGACTCCGAAGGGAGAGGCAAGAAAGCTGTCCTAGAATCCCACACAAGACCCAGCCAGACCAAACCTGAGAGGGAACCAGATGGGAATTTTGCCAGTTCACCAGGAACTCGAACCCAGCTAGCTGGGAAAGAACCAAATCCCTGGCTAGCAGACACGTGGACAGACTGTGAGCCCACACTAGCCAGTCGTCGAGGTAGGCAAAGACCAGAACCCCTAAAAGAAGCAACCAAGCCACCACGCCCCGGGTGAGGTGTGTAAACATGCGAGGTGCCAGATTCAAGCCAATTGGAAGGCAACGAAAGCGGTACCCTCGACGCCCCACAAAAAAACCGAGCCAGTCCCTGAACCCCGGATGAACCATGACTTGCCAATACGTATCCTTAAGGCCAAGAGACACCATCCAAGCACCTGGCTCCAAGAGGAGCCGGACTCGGTACAGTAGTCCTCCGAAAGGAGGGGCAAGAAACCCAGGTGTTCTGATGGCACAAGTTCAAAATGAACTGCAGGTCCACACAGTCTCGTTTCGGGACTGGAAACAGGCGGGAAACCCAACTGAGAGAAGTCGTCGTTTCGACCACGCTCAAGCGCACCCACTCCGAGATGACCTAACAGAGCGCAGGAGAAGAGGCCTGCCCTGCAGTCCCAAACCCCCTTAGGGACAAGGGGCCAACCTACACCACTGCAGGCCGTTGGAAACAACCCAAAAAGCCCACAAATCTTGAGACCAGGCATGAGCGAACGGGAACCCGACTTCGGAACAGAGAACACCGCGCCAACCAGAAGGAGGGGGGGTCCGGAGGCGACACCCGCCCTGAAACTGGCACCACCTGCCTACCACGACGGAAGGAACCATGAGCCCTGGAATGACCCTTCTGGTTAGAATCCGGGACTTGTTGGTCCTCCGGGTTCCCCCAGGGAACCCGGAGGACCAACAAGTCAGACATTGGACAACAAGAAACAGAAGCCGCCTGCATATGCTGTGCGACCGCCTCCTCCCCAAACTGTAAAAGACAAAAGGGAGAAGACAACCGAAGAGCCAGGGCCCAAGCAGATTCCACAGATGAAGCCAGCACCACCTGTTGACACGTGAGACGGAAAGCAAAAAACAAACACCGCATCCTGCAGAATCGGCACAAACAACTGCAATTGTGACACTAGCTCTCTACATATGTCAGTTGCTTAATTTAGAAACTGTACTTGTGGTCGATCTCGAACCCATTGTTGATGAGAAAACTTACTGAATTTTGTAACTAGCTCAAGATTGTAACTTGCTTAGCTAAATGAATTCTGGGGTTCAGTCCCTGAGCCCATTATGTGCCTCTTTAACCCTTTCCACTACCGCCCACAAGATGGGTATGGGGTGCATAATAAATGAACTAAACTAAACTAAAAAAAAAGCTGCAACAGAGCAGACGACATACGAGCCGCTGAAAATAACACGTCTGACCCTGACAAAGCCCAAAACGTCTCCATACCCTCCTCAAGCCAATCTGAGGACAGCTCAAGAAGGGAAAGGAACCGCAAAACAGAGGCCAAGGAGCCACGCTTGAGCAAGTCCTCAGCAACCAGCACAGCCAAAAGGGAAGGAACCTGCACGTGAAGCTGCTGCACACCAACATCATGAGGAAGAGCTGGAGCACACAAGCACTCATTGAGGTGCTCAAGGTTGCTCCCCCAGGTAAACCTGGGAAATCATCAGAATCTTCTACCATACAAACGTGCAGGAATGACAGAACGCATGCCAAACATCCAAAGTAAAGAAGGGACAATCCACTAGCCAGGACGACTCCTGAACCTCATAATAAACCCAGAAAGGGGAGGAAGCCTGTTACAGTATCGCCACCTTCATTGGAGTATGGAGTGGCAATGTTGGCACCATCTATGGGTTGGCACCTTAGTTCCCCAGATATTGGACGCTACGTGGACAACGCCATCTATTGGTGGTGACGTGGCAGTGACGAATGGCTTCTGTTTCCTGCCTTGGTCAGACAGAAAGGTCGTTGTGGATGATCTCTGACGGGTGGCGTGTCGTGATCAGCGCCATCTGGTTGATACCTGGTTGAAAGGTTGAAAAGGTTGGTTGGTTGGTTGGCTTTAGCCAACCTTTTCAACCTTTCAACCAGGTATCTGTTGTGCTACAGAGCAAAATGTCAACTCCCAGGTGAATGAGTGTTACCTCATGGTTTCCCCAGTGTACCGTCCATTTAACTGATGACGTTTTATGTCCACAGAGGTGACGTATGGAGGCAGTTGTACTGAGGAAGGCAGTTTCACCTTTGGCAGTTCACATATTCTGAGCTTGTTCCTGGAAGGAGATTAAGTAAGCGACCATCGATCTGTGCAGTGTGTTAGCTGCTGATTTACGCAGTTTCAATAGAGATCGGCATACCCTGAGATTGGCTTAGAGCGACGGACAACAGTGAGGTGCCTATAGTGAAGTGCTGCTAGCCAGTTGCTAGAGGCTTCTGCCAGGGGTTAGCTACCCCTATATATGGTTATTTTGTGACCCCGATCAGCGTGTGGCTGAAGTCCTCTGCCAGCGAGTAGCTGGAGAGCAATAGTGGGGTGTAGGCACCTCATGATACTATGTCGGTGGACTTCTTGAGGTTATCTTGAGATGATTTCGGGGCTTTTAGTCTCCCCGCGGCCCGGTCGTCGACCAGGCCTCCACCCCCAGGAAGCAGCCCGTGACAGCTGACTAACACCCAGGTACCTATTTTACTGCTAGGTAACAGGGGCATAGGGTGAAAGAAACTTTGCCCATTGTTTCTCGCCGGCACCTGGGATCGAACCCAGGACCACAGGATCACAAGTCCAGCGTGCTGTCCGCTCGGCCGACCGGCTCTTTTATATGAAAGGAACCGTCGGAAATGCATCCGAGGTGCCGTGTGGTTTGTCGCCTCCTCGTTGGTGGAGAGAGGCGACGCCACAGTCGCCCACGTAAGAGGTGAACGTAGGACTGGCCCACGTAAGAGGTGAATTTGCCAGTGCTTCGTCAGTAAACATGCACAGTACTGGGCAGGGGAAAACACTGAAGTTGGCGAACACTGCCATCGTAGAAGTGTCCTACGTGAAAGCGACACTACTGTATATACGTGTAGTCTTAATCTATTAAATCTATTATCTTTTAATGGTGAAGGTGTAAATATAATGGTGAACATACTCTTAAAGGGAACTGTGTATTGTTCACTCCCCCTTATTCTTTATTGCACTATATAGCCAGTTCTTGAAAGCATACTATCAACTTGGGATTGGATACACCAAACAAGGTTATAGCATCAAGAACCCGGTTACTGGTCCAAAGTGGTCATAACAGTCGGCCACTTGAACGAAGCAGGATTCATCAAAGAGGCGTCATCCGTGTCACACAGGAGGCAAGATGCCATGGTCGCCTGCACCTCATGTGCTGGGACGCGGGAAGCTGAAAACCTTCAGAAAGACAGGACTGACAAACCCGAAGGAAACCGGAACCAAACCTAGGGAGGTTCCGGTTCTGACACCATATCCAAGTCATACGCATAAGGGGGAGAGGAAAAACCCCCTTCCTGTAACAAGCCCTGCTGGGAAGGAACAAAACCCCAAGCAGAGTACAATGGGCCCCAAGGCTCCAAGTCAATCCCTCCCCAGCCTCAAGGGCCCCCTATAGTAGGCCCCGGGGCCAAGCCGTCCTCCAAGACCCCGGCCTCACAAGAAGAAGCCGGAGCAGCCTTGCAAGCAGGAAGAAAGGGCGCCCACTGGTCAGACCCAGATGCTTCGACACGAGGACCCGGCTCGAATGCCTCCGTAGCCAATCCAGAAGAGGTAGTCCCCGAGACCGCCTGAATCTCCTCATTATCAAAACATTGGTAACGACATGACATCATGCTCATTTTTTTCTTCATGAGGAGTTCTACCCATGTATTCGGCTTTAATAGCAATTCTTAACCAGAATGGAAGGGGGTGTTTTGGGGCACCTATCTTTCTGGGTGTCTGACCCGGTCGATGACAGAGTACTTCTAATGTCTCTATAGGCCATTGCTCCCCGTGCCTCTCTGAGGGGGCCAGGTTCTGGCTCGTTAGTCCCCCGGTAGGCCTAGAACTCCATGTACATTGACTGATGCCTAAATGTACATGATGCCCAAATTCTCAGTATCAGCCTAGATAGCTCCGGGGAGCCGAAGGGGCTCCCCCTCCCCACCCAGAAACACCATTTGACTGATCTAACAATACTGTATAATATGTCACTACTATACATGAGCACCATATTTTGGAGCAAAGCGATGTTCCACACATTTAACTACTGTATATATATTCCATAAATTACACACTATTGAATAATATTACTGGGGAAAAAAAAAAATCTTGCATAGACACTGAAATAATTACGTAAAAATAAATGTAAAAAATGAGACTTTACACATGATAAATAATTCATCCTATAATCAAGTTTTTGTGGTTATCTTTACATTAATAGAACCAAGACTATACCCAGAAGGAAACTTATGGAATTGATGCAGCATACTATAAAAAAAAAAAAGCTAGAACCATCAATTAACTTCATAGGAGTAAAATTAAATGCCCATATCTACAATTTAATGCCAAACTATTTGGAGAGAATCTGTCCAGAGAGATCATTTATCTGAAGAATCTCAAGGCATGAAAACACAAATTTATTAAAACCATTTGCTTCAAAGGGAGTATCTAACAAGTCAGTGCTTACCTTAATGCCAAGGTTGTGACCATCACGTAGAAAATAGTCCCACTTGTCGACATCAACACCTGTTCGCTTATTAGCCACAATCTGTAAGATGCATTCAAGCAAAAAAATTATGCTTACATCAAATAACACAAAAATTTATTATGATATAAATTATTATTATGCTGAACTGATCAGATAAAAACCTATTGTTAATGTAATGAAATAATTTCTGGATGAGCCCTAGTGGCTCTCTGAAGCTACTAAACAAGTATAGTGCCAGATTATAGGGTGCCATTAGTTAAGTTTTCATTGGCCTACCAGGACCACACATCAGAGCGTTGCCCTTCAGGGGCAAAGGGAGGAGTGGCACAATAAAAAATGTATGTAAATTTATTAATGTATGCCAATAACGACAAGGCATACATGAAAATCGGCACACGCGTGCCCCCACAGACAGACGCACAGTAGTAGGCCGCCGCCAGTAGGAGACACACACGATTAGTGAGGTCCATGGAAATTCGTCAATTTCTCGGGACATTGAAGGAGTATAGAAGCTAGATCATAGTATTTGGCCTCTCGCAGTGTGTAGCTAGCAGGGTGCTACATAGCATAGTCATATCGCTAGCAATAGTGTGAAGAAACCAAAGTGGAGCTAGTGGCATCACCGGTGCATATAAGTGTGGAGGACCGTGTGGAGCGACCTGACCTGACGGCCAGGTGGGAGGACCTGCCGTGGAACTGCCTGATTGTGTTTGTTGGGTGGTGACTGATCAGTGGTACAGTAAATTAGTGAACTGTAACACAACGATACAGTGACTGACTCCAGAGCTTTGTGAAGACAGCAGAACCGCCATCATCAATCTACTAGCACTTAGTGAATCACCTAGTGGGAGACAACGACGGAACACCATCGTCATCCATACATCGTCATTACTCATCTGGTTGTGTGAGCGGGAGGCAGACTGGTATGTACCCCTCTCTGGTCAATTAATCAGGTGTACAGATTGAGGTAAAATATTATCAAATTCTTGTTCAGGATATCATATATATATTGAAAAATCTCAAAGTGGCTCATTGTAGGTAGAAGTTAACGCTTACAGGATCCCCGTAACACACGCACGCACATGAGATAAATTTCAGATGAGAAAAAGTTGCCCTAGTGTTTACAGTGCAGAGAAGAACATTCAAGATGGCCACTGGCAAGGGGAAAAACAAAACAGAGCTTGATTTTGAGGGATTCAATGAAGAAAGCATTTATATTAGCAGTCTACATAACAAGTTGGTAAATTTAGATACTATAGTGAACTCTCATGTAGAAATAATTAGTAAATTGAAAGAAAGTAATGACCATTTGAATAGCAAAGTTTTATGTCTTGAGGGTTTAGTGAAAGACTTGCACAAGGATAAGAATCAATTGGAAACAAATTGCAAAGCCATGGAAGAAGAAAATAAACTCTTAAAAATAGCTTTGGAAGAAGTTAAAGTAAATTTAAACATAAATGACTACAATAGGTTAGGTAAGGAAATTCAACAGGAGAAACAGCTTTTGTCAGCACAGATGGAGGAAGTTACACAGGGAATAGAACAGTGCAAGAAAGATATGCAACTCACTTATGCACAAGTGGCCAAGGAGAAGGAAAAAATAGAAGCAGCAGTAAAGGAAGTCAAACACTGCAGCAACCAAGATAAAACAAACATTAGGCTGGAAGTGAGAAAAGAATTGGCATCTAACCCGAAGTTGGTGCAAAACACAGTTGATCAGAGTAAGTCCCTGATCATTTTTGACTGCAAAGAAAAGGAGATAACATCTAGGTCAGAAAGAGCTGTAGAAGAAGCTAAAGTAGTAGATAAAATTGTTGGCCTCGTGGAAGGTCTTACAACCATAGAGAATGTGTACGACTACAGGAGAATAGGCAGGTACATAAAAGGGAAAGATCGACCTTTGAGGATCACCCTAAACTGTGCCAAACAGATGGAAGAAGTACTAAGGAATGCTAGAAAATTGCAAAGTGATGAGGATGGGAAAGGGTGGCCGTTAAGACGAGATCTTTCAAAAGAAGATAGAGAGAAGCTGAAACTGAACCTCGCTGAGGCAAAACGTTTAAATGAGAGCAGGAATGAAGAAATAAATTCTTTTTTCTACAAAGTGATAGGGGTAGGCAAACCAGTAAAGTGGTACATAAAGGCAAACCAACAAAATCAATAGAGAGAGGGGGAGTGAAGAATAAGGAGAGGGGGAACAAGTTCCTGAAGATTGCATACACCAACATAGATGGAGTGAAATCGAAGATACTGGAGTTAAGTGATGTAATACAGCTGCAGACACCAGACTTGTTGCACTCACGGAAACAAAACTTGAAGATGTAATTTTAAATGAGGTCATATTCCCAAGGGGCTACTCAATTTGGAGACGGGACAGAAAAATTAGGAAAGGCGGTGGCGTTGCTGTGCTGGTAAAAGATCACCTAAAGGTGAACGAAATAATGACTGACAATCCACAAGAAGTCGACATAATAGCACTAGAGATCTGCCATGAGGATGATAAACTAATGATAATAAATGCATATAGTCCACCGCCAAGCAGCACATGGTCAAAGGAGGAGCTAGATAGTAAACGTGAAGGTCTTATAACAATAATGAGAGAGATTATAGCGAGAGCGGATAACGATAGATCACGACTGTTGATAGTCGGTGACTTCAACTTGAAATCCATAGACTGGGAAGCATATGAAGCTAAAACAGAAGATTTTTGGACCTGTAAATTTGTAGACCTCATCCTGGAAACATTCTTGTATCAACATGTTAAACAAGCTACGAGGATGAGGGAAGGGGACGTTCCCTCCATGCTAGATTTGATATTTACCAGGAAGGAGGAAGAGATATTTGACATTCAGTACCTTCCTCCCTTGGGTAAAAGTGACCATGTCTTTTTGGGAATAAGGTATGCAATGCGTTATAAGCTGGAAGAAAATAAGGAGAGTGAAGCAGTTGAAAAACCAGACTTCAGGAGAGGACATTATGGTGACCTTAGAAATTTTTTTAGTGAGTATAATTGGACAGACTTGATGCTAGGCAAGGAAGTGAATGAGATGTATGTCAAGTTTTGTGAAATATATGATAAATGCACAAAAAAATTTATACCAAAACAGAGATGCAGAACTAGGAAACAGGATTGGTTCAATAGAAATTGCGAGAGGGCTAGAGACCAAAAGACACAAAAATGGAATCGATACAGGAAGAGGCCGAACCCCCAAACACATCAGCGATACAAAGATGTGAGAAACAACTACAGGGCAGTGAGGAGAGAGGCAGAAAGAAATTTTGAAAAAGGGATTGCAGACAAATGTAAAACAGAACCAGGGCTATTCTATAAATTCATTAACAACAAATTGCAGGTAAAGGATAATATTTAGAGGTTGAAAATAGGAAATAGATTCATGGAAAATAAAAAGGAAATGTGTGAAACATTAAACGAAAAGTTCCAAAGTGTGTTTGTAAAAAATTAAATCTTTAGGGAACCAGACACAATAAGAATTCCAGGGAACAACATAGAGCACATAGAGGTGTCTAGAGATGAAGTGGGAAAAAATGCTCAAGGAGCTAAGTAAGAACAAAGCAGTTGGTCCAGATGGAGTTTCACCATGGGTTCTGAGAGAATGTGCACCTGAGCTCAGCATTCCACTTCAACTGATTTTTCAGGCATCCCTGTGTACAGGAGTTGTAGCTGATGTGTGGAAAAAGGTTAACATAGTTCCAATGTACAAAAGTGGAAACAGGGAAGACCCCCCTTAATTATAGACCTGTATCATTGACAAGTGTAATAGTCAAAATATTGGAAAAAATAATTAAAATTAAATGGGTAGAACACCTGGAGGAAAACGATATAATATCAGACAGACAGTATGGTTTTCGATCTGGAAGATCCTGTGTAATAAAGTTGCTAAGTTTTTATGATCGAGCCACAGAGATTTTACAGGAAAGAGATGGTTGGGTTGACTGCATCTATCTGGACCTAAAAAAGGCTTTCGACAGAGTTCCCCATAAGAGGTTGTTCTGGAAACTGGAACATATTGGAGGAGTGACAGGTAAGCTACTAACATGGATGAAAAATTTCCTGACAGAAAAATGAGGGCCGTAATCAGAAGCAAGGTATCGGATTGGAGGAATGTTACGAGTGGAGTACCACAGGGTTCAGTTCTTGCACCGGTAATGTTCATTGTCTACATAAACGATCTACCAGTGGGAATACAGAATTACATGAACATGTTTGCTGATGATGCTAAGATAATAGGGAAGATAAGAAACCTAGATAATTGTCATACCCTCCAAGAAAACCTGGACAAAATAAGTATATGGAGCAACACTTGGCAAATGGAATTTAATGTGAATAAATGCCATGTTATGGAATGTGGAATTGGAGAACATAGACCCCAACACAACCTATAAATTATGTGAGAAATCTTTAAAGAATTCTGGCAAAGAAAGGGATCTAGGGGTGGTTCTAGAAACAAAACTGTCACCTGAGGACCACATTAAGAACATTTTTCGAGGAGCCTATGCTACACTTTCTAACCTCAGAATTGCTTTTAAAAACATGGATGGAGAAATACTAAAGAAATTGTTCACAACTTTTATTAGACCAAAGCTGGAATATGCAGTGGTTGTATGGTGCCCATATCTTAAGGACAACAAACTGGAAAAGGTGCAACGACATGCCAATAAGTGGCTCCCAGAACTGAAGGACAAGAGCTACGAGGAGAGGTTAGAGGCATTAAATATGCAAAAACTATAAGATAGAAGAAAAAGAGGCGATATGATCACTACGTTCAAAATTGTAACAAGAATCGATAAAATTGATAGGGAAGAATTCCCGAGACCTGGAACTTCAAGAACAAGGTCATAGATTTAAACTAACTAAACAAAGCTGCTGGAGAAATATAAGAAAATTTACTTTTGTAAATAGAGTGGTAGACGGTTGGAACAAGTGAGAAGGTGGTGGAGGCCAAAACCGTCAGTAATTGCAAAGCATTATATGACAGAGTGCTGGGGAAACTTGACACCACGAGCGTAGCTGTCATCCTGTAACTACACATAGGTACTCACTCACTCTGTGTCTGTGTCTGAGTCTGTGAGAGACAGAGACCCCAGGCGTGGGGTGTGTGACCCCAGGCGTGGGGGGTGTGACCCCAGGCGTGGGGTGTGTGACCCCAGGCGTGGGGTGTGTGACCCCAGGCGTGGGGTGTGTGACCCCAGGCGTGGGGTGTGTGACCCCAGGCGTGGGGTGTGTGACCCCAGGAGTGGGGTGTGTGACCCCAGGAGTGGGGTGTGTGACCCCAGGAGTGGGGTGTGTGACCCCAGGAGTGGGGTGTGTGACCCCAGGAGTGGGGGGGTGTGACCCCAGGAGTGGGGTGTGTGACCCCAGGAGTGGGGTGTGTGACCCCAGGAGTGGGGTGTGTGACCCCAGGAGTGGGGTGTGTGACCCCAGGAGTGGGGTGTGTGACCCCAGGAGTGGGGTGTGTGACCCCAGGAGTGGGGTGTGTGACCCCAGGAGTGGGGTGTGTGACCCCAGGAGTGGGGTGTGTGACCCCAGGAGTGGGGTGTGTGACCCCAGGAGTGGGGTGTGTGACCCCAGGAGTGGGGTGTGTGACCCCAGGAGTGGGGTGTGTGACCCCAGGAGTGGGGTGTGTGACCCCAGGAGTGGGGTGTGTGACCCCAGGAGTGGGGTGTGTGACCCCAGGAGTGGGGTGTGTGACCCCAGGAGTGGGGTGTGTGACCCCAGGAGTGGGGTGTGTGACCCCAGGAGTGGGGTGTGTGACCCCAGGAGTGGGGTGTGTGACCCCAGGAGTGGGGTGTGTGACCCCAGGAGTGGGGTGTGTGACCCCAGGAGTGTGGGGTGGGGGAGAGTGACCCCAGGAGTGTGGGGTGGGGGAGAGAGTGTGACCCCAGGAGTGTGGGGTGGGGGGTGTGACCCAGGAGTGTGGGGTGGGGGGGAGAGGGTGTGACCCCAGGAGTGTGGGGTGGGGGAGAGAGGGTGTGACCCCAGGAGTGTGGGGTGGGGGGGAGAGGGTGTGACCCAGGAGTGTGGGGTGGGGGGTGTGACCAGGAGTGTGGGGTGGGGGGTGTGACCAGGAGTGTGGGGTGGGGGGGAGAGGGTGTGACCCCAGGAGTGTGGGGTGGGGGAGAGAGGGTGTGACCCCAGGAGTGTGGGGTGGGGGGGGGAGGTGTGACCAGGAGTGTGGGGTGGGGGGTGTGACCAGGAGTGTGGGGTGGGGGGTGTGACCAGGAGTGTGGGGTGGGGGGGAGAGGGTGTGACCCAGGAGTGTGGGGTGGGGGGGAGAGAGTGTGACCCCAGGAGTGTGGGGTGGGGGGTGTGACCAGGAGTGTGGGGTGGGGGGTGTGACCAGGAGTGTGGGGTGGGGGAGAGAGGGTGTGACCCAGGAGTGTGGGGTGGGGGGGAGAGGGTGTGACCCCAGGAGTGTGGGGTGGGGGAGAGAGGGTGTGACCCCAGGAGTGTGGGGTGGGGGGGAGAGGGTGTGACCCAGGAGTGTGGGGTGGGGGGGAGAGGGTGTGACCCAGGAGTGTGAGGTGGGGGAGAGGGGGTGTGACCCAGGAGTGTGGGGTGGGGGGGAGAGGGTGTGACCCAGGAGTGTGGGGTGGGGGGAGAGGGTGTGACCCAGGAGTGTGGGGTGGGGGAGAGGGTGTGACCCAGGAGTGTGGGGTGGGGGAGAGGGGGTGTGACCCAGGAGTGTAGGGTGGGGGGGAGAGGGTGTGACCCAGGAGTGTGGGGTGGGGGGGGAGAGGGTGTGACCCCAGGAGTGTGGGGTGGGGGGGGGGAGAGGGTGTGACCCCAGGAGTGTGGGGAGGGGGGAAGGGTGTGACCCCAGGAGTGTGGGGAGGGGGGAAGGGTGTGACCCAGGAGTGTGGGGGGAGGGTATGACCCAGGAGTGTGGGGGGGAGGGTATGACCCAGGAGTGTGGGGAGGGTGGGAGGGTGTGACCCAGGAGTGTGGGGTGGGGGGGGGTTGACCCAGGAGTGTGAGGTGGGGGGGAGGGTGTGACCCAAGAGTGTGAGGTGGGGGGGAGGGTATGACCCAAGAGTGTGGGGAGGGTGGGAGGGTGTGACCCAGGAGTGTGGGGTGGGGGGGGGGTTGACCCAAGAGTGTGAGGTGGGGGGGAGGGTGTGACCCAAGAGTGTGAGGTGGGGGGGAGGGTATGACCCAAGAGTGTGAGGTGGGGGGGAGGGTATGACCCAAGAGTGTGGGGAGGGTGGGAGGGTGTGACCCAGGAGTGTGGGGTGGGGGGGGTTGACCCAAGAGTGTGAGGTGGGGGGGAGGGTGTGACCCAAGAGTGTGGGGAAAATTTTCTCTTGCATTCCCTTGCTATCCTCCTCTTATTCCTATTACTATCCCCTTCTCATTCGGTGGTTATAATAGGAGCTGCCTCGTATGGGCCAATGGGCCTTCTGCAGTTCTTATTCCTACTATTATCCCCTCTACTACACCTTACCATTCGTACCATTTGCCTTGCTCCTCACCTCTCTTGCTTATTTATTTGCCTCCGTCATTTTAACATGGGAGACATCTCCCGTCACACAGGGTGCAGTCGCACCTCCACAGATCTCCAGTATCATCAATTGATACTGGTAATGGCTCAAAAGGGCCACCACTTACGGGCTATTCATGTCCGTGCCACCTTTTGGGTGGCTTAATCTTAATCAATCAATCAATCTCCGTCATCACAATCGACTTGAGAATGGTCCAGGACGGACCGAAACATCGTTGCCCCTTCACCTTCTAGTGTGTGGTCTGGTCAACATACTTTAGCCACGTTACTGTGACTCATCGCCTGTATAGGGTTAAATGACTACAAAGCCACAAGAGCACTTCGAGAGTCAACTGCTATCTATGACAAACGAGAACTGACGATGGACAAGCAATCTATAAAGGGCATATGAGATCGTATAATGTTCGGCTGTAAAGATGCTAGCCTTCAGAGGTAGACAGCACATAGGTTTGGTCTGGAAAGAGAACAGAGTATCCAATACTGCTGGCAGACTTAAGACTCATCTGTGAGGAGGGAATCAGAATGGGAGTGCGAAGAAAAATGTTAAAGGAATAGCGTTTCCTTTCAAGGAATCCTCTCTCACATGGTCAAAGACTTGCAAAACTTCACAAGTGTAATTACCTAAGTGTAATTACCTAAGTGTAGTTACAGGATGAGAGCTACGCTCGTGGTGTCCCGTCTTCCCAGCACACTGTCATATAACGAAAAAAAATCAATCTGATCATTACTGGGCAACATCTAAGTAAATGAATCAGTACAAACTAATTACATACGATCTAACATAGGCCTCCTCACAGGCTGGGGTTGACAGACCTGGCCTAGCTCTGTTTTTAAACAGACTAAATTCTGTAACTCTCTCTCTACAGAGCAGTCACAGACCTCTGGCTAGTCTTAAACGATGGTCCTTAGCATAAGCTTTCATCCAACACCACACCAAAATCATCTCTTAGCTAGTTCCCTCCGAAGTCTCCGTCATGGGAGCAGGAACTCATGGGATTGTAACGTACGATTATGTTACGTTGTTGAGTATATTAGATACACAGTGTGTAGTGGGTTTTCATATTTATTTAGTAGCCTTAGATTCAGCAGTGTCGTATACGTTGAGACAGAGCTTGGAGCCGAGCAGAGAGCAGAGTGAAGCCGGAGTCGTGGAGCTCTATGTGTGAGAGCGTGGCGACTCGTTGAGAAATCCTAAGTGTCTAAACTTGATGGGGAGCGAGAGCGTTGTAGCTCGATGCAGTCCTAGTCAGCTGTGTGTTCTGTGTCGAAGCTGTAGCGTCTTAGGGTCGATTAGAACTGCATATGCCGAGTGCAACATTCTTGACTGTGGAAATTGTACTGTTGGCTATTCGCTATAAGCATAAGTGTGCCCAAGAAGAGGTGCAATAGGTACTCTAAGAGAACTCTATCAACATCCGAGGCCCAAGACTGATCAACATGCTCCCACTACACATAAGGGGAATAACTGGCTAACCCTTCACAGAATTCAACAGAGAATTCATGACAAAACTGAATAAACACCTCCATATGACACCTGATAAACCAGGCTGCGATTCATATATCACGCTTTAAGCAGCTGTGTCCAGCAGCCTGGTAGACAAGACCATCTACAGGAGGCATGGTCAGAGACCTGGCCTCAGGGACCTTGATCCCCAGAATCAATGCAAGATAGTCACAAGTCTCAATGACAAAAAAATAGGGTACAAGCTCATGTTTGGATGGAACTGCCCAAAAGTTATGGTTAACTCAGTGTTATAGATGACACAAACAGTAGTAAATAGGTTCATGTTAAAACTCCGCCGTTCTGTAAACATACGTGATATATTTCTCATTCAATATTATTTGATATTCAAATATTATTATTCTTACCTCATATAAGAAGGCTTTCTCCTCTTGCCGCTGTTTAGATCCAATTCCGCACATTAGTTTCTTAATATTCTGAATATCTATGCCATAGTTTTCTAATTCTTCATTAAGATTATTGACATTCACTAAATATTCAAACATCATCTTCGATGCCTCCTCATGCTGTGAACAATAAAAAATATTAAAAAACAATTGGCTACAATTTTTGCAAAGTGAGAGTTCTAACTGAATAAATTAAGAATATTTGTTGTTCATTATGTACTTTATGCATTCCTGGCCCATTCCTTTTTCTCATACACATCAATAACTTGCAAATGAAATGCAACGCCTTATCAAATACTATATGCTGATGACAACCTTCATTTTCACAAAGGCTAGCACTAGCTCCCTTAACACTCAACATTCCAACCAGTGAAAGCATGCCTCACCATAAAGGTTTCAGGCATCTCAAGATCCCCCCTTAGTGATGTTTTAAATGTTTAATTTTGTTACATTTTCAATTATTTTTGTTATTACTATAATTTTGATAAAATGACCAGAAATGAATTTGTTTGAATAAAATTGCATAACAATGATTTTATGATAATGGTTTACAGTATATGCAATGGTGCCAAATATACAAGCATGAATGAAATCTCAACATTTCTTATTTATATTTCAATATAAATAAAAATTAATAATATGGAAATGTATGCACATGATTGGTCTATGTCACTGTAAAAACCCAGTATTACATGTAATGAAGTGGCAGTTTCTGAGGGAGCACATGTAGCTTCAGGAAGCTATCACGATGAGATGATTCAAAACTACTTTATCTCATCAGCTGTGGAGTTCAGTACAGTCTAGCAGAAACAAGAGCCAGAACCTAGTCTGCCCCCCCCCCCCCATCCCTTCTCACAGAAGCGCAGGAAGCTGGTGAGACTGCCATCTCACCTGAAAGGCACCCAGAAAGTCAGGTAACCAATACAGATCATGGTTGGGTTCAGAGACAAAAGCTTCATAACCTGCCAAGCAAATTTTCCCAACAATGTAAGCAAATGACCAAAAAAAAATTTATTTTATTTATTTATACACAGCATAAGGTACATTGGGTTTGTAAACATACATAACATTGGTGTTCTCACATTCCTGCAAAGTCATTAACACTCATAGCATTTCAGGTAGAAACACAAATGAAAATCTTTCAAAACGTGCGTGCTCATTCGCCCCACCCCTCCCACTTAAGCTGTTTGGCCAAGACCCAACTAAAACTGCTCCACAGCCTGATCAGGAGGAAACAGCAGTGAAGGAACAAATGATGAAACTGATTAAAGGGGAGAACAGATACACAGAATGACAAGGTGGTGTGTGAAGAACTCAAGAGATTCCAGGAGGTCTTCACAATAGAACAAGAAGTCTCTGCACTAAATGAGGTGGCAGCAAACCAAGCAACCTTGAGGGAATTTGAGCTCAACAGTGATGAGGTCAAAAGGAATTTGTTGGAGCTGAATGTGACAAAGGCTGTTAGGCCTGACAATCTCACCTTGAATACTAAAAGAGGGTGCAGAAGCACTAAGTACTCTCCAAGCTGTGCTTGCAGGGGTTAAGCTTCGGCTCTCTGGCCCCGCCTCTCAACCTTCAATCAACAGGTAATTACCCAAGTGTAATTACCCAATTACCTAAGTGTAGTTACAGGATGAGAACTATGCTCATGGTGGCCCGTCTTCCCAGCACTCTGTCGTATAACGCTTTGAAACTACTGACGGTCTTGGCCGCCAGAACCTTTTCACCTAACTTGTTCCAACCATCTACCACTCTGCGAAAATAAATATTCTTATATTTCTTCGGCATCTTTGTTCAGCTAGTTTAAATCTATGACCTCTTGTTCTTGAAGTTCCAGGTCTTGGGAAATCTTCCCTATCAATTTTGTCAATTCCTGTTACTATTTTGTAAGTAGTGATCATATCTCTTTTTCTTCTGTCTTCTAGTTTTGGAATATTTAATGCCTCTAACTTCTCCTCATAGCTCTTGCCCTTCAGTTCTGGGAGCCACTTAGTAGCATGTCTTTGCACCTTTTCCCAGCTTGTTGATGTGCTTCTTAAGATATGGGCACCACACAACTGCTGCATATTCTAGCTTTGGCCTAACAAAAGTCGTGAACAATTTCTTTAGTATTTCCCCATCCATGTATTTAAAAGCAATTCAGTTAGAAAGCATAGCATAGGCTCCTCGTACAACGTTCTTTATGTGGTCCTCAGGTGATAGTTTTCTATCTAGAACCACCCCTAGATCTCTCTATCAGAATTCTTTAAAGATTTCTCACATAACTTATAGGTTGTGTGGGGTCTATGTTTTCCTATTCCACATTCCATAACATGGCATTTATTCACATTAAATTCCATTTGCCAAGTGGTGCTTCATATACTTATTTTGTCCAGGTCTTCTTGAAGGGCATGACAATCATCTAAGTTTCTTATCCTTCCTATTATCTAGATATAGCATCATCAGCAAACATGTTCATATAATTCTGTATACCATCTGGTAGATCATTTATGTAGACAATGAACATCACTGGTGCAAGAACTGAACCCTGTGGTACTCCACTTGTGACGTTTCTCCAGTACAATACATTGCCTCTGATTACTGCCCTCATTTTTCTATTAGTCAGAAAATTTTTCATCCATGTTAAAGTTTACCTGTCACCCCTCCAATATTTTCCAGTTTCCAGAACAACCTCTTATGTGGAACTCTGCCGAAAGCTTTTTTCAGGTCCAAATAGATGCAGTCAACCCAACCACCTTTTTCCTGTAAAATCTCTGTGGCTCGATCATAGAAATTCAGTAAATTCGATACACAGGATTTTCCAGATCGAAAACCATACTGTCTGTTTGATATTATATCATTTCTCTCCAGGTTTTCTACCCATTTAGTTTTCATTATTTTTTTTCTAATATTTTGACTATTATGCTTGTCAATGATACAGGTCTATAATTGAGGGGGTCTTCCCTGCTGCCACTTTTGTAGATTGGAACTATGTTAGCCTTTTTCCCACACATCAGCTACAACTCCTGTACACAGGGATGCCTGAAAAATCAATTGAAGTGGAATGCTAAGCTCAGGTGCACATTTTCTCAAAACCGATGATGAAACTCCATCTGGACCAACTGCTTTGTTCAAACGCTGATTGATCGTAGAATATAATATATGTGTCACATATATGAGTCCCATAATTTTGAGCATAGCGATGTTCCACACTTTGAACTATATAAATTCCACAAATTTCATACGTTTGAATAATATTACAGCAAAAAACCAGTGAAGAAACAAATGAGAAACATCAAAATAATTGTGAAACATTATATTCACGGCAACTGCCGCCCCCCCATGGGATGGTGGGGCCGACTGACCCCGAGCGCTCCATCGCTCAGCGCCCATTATTTGATCAACTTCCCAGCTCCATCATGTCTAAAGTATGTCACATACAATTTTTTTCCAGTGATCAGAGACTGCATTTTAACCATACAAGATGAAAATAATGTTTTGGAAAGAATTTATTTTCGGCGCACCACGGATGTGTCTTATTTTAATGCAGAGCAGTTCAGTGGTTAAAGTGAGAGAGAGAGAATACTGTTACATTAAAAGAACACTGTACACCATATGATTGATTTAAAAGGCCCTTACCACCAAGTCAACCTCCCTAAGAACACACTAGGTGATTTATAAAGTGATGTCGTCGTTTTGTTTTCGTCACTGTAGGCCTGTTGATGCCCACGCCACTGCCTGACGGTAGGTCACTCGTACTTTCCGCTTATATATCGCCAGGAATTGGCTTCTTTTTTGCCTTAGCACTGGTATAGCTCTAATGCTACACATTTTGACAGCTTGCTTTATTCTTCACTATACCTATCATAGCTAGTTATGTACACACCGACTGAACATAACTTTGCAACCGTGTCGGCAATGGTGCTTGTCGTGGCACTGATGTCTTGCCTCTGGTTTCTTGACTAATTAGCACTATCAGACACAATCCCTGAAATTGCTATTTTCTAATCAGTGTGTTACACTTCGTAATATCACTACGCAATAATTTTCCTTTGTGATTTTGAGTAATTTTCCACTCTTGATATAAACAATTTGGGAATACTGATGTCCAAGCAAAAATCTGAAACATAATACAGGGTACAAAACACAATCGAATCTTCCCATAATAGAAAAACAGCATGTCAAGAATTTGGGAATAATGATGTCCGACAATTCAACATTTAGGGAGCATAACCAAGCAAATATTGCATCAGCCAGAAAAATGATAGGATGGATTACGAGAACTTTCAAATCCAGGGATCCCATCACCATGGTTGTACTCTTCAAGTCACTTGTGTTGTCCCGTCTTGAGTACTGCTCAGTACTCACTTCCCCCTTCAGAGCAGGAGAGATTGCTGAAATAGAGGGAATACAGAGAACATATACGGCACACATAGACAGGATAAAACACCTAAATTATTGGGATCATCTCAAAGCTCTCCAAATGTACACTCTAGAAAGGAGACGAGAGAGATACCAAATAATATACACATGGAAATTACTGGAGGGCCAGGTCCCAGATCTACACAGTAAAATAACAACATACTGGAGTGAACGATATTGAAGAAAATGCAAGATTGAACCAGTGAAGAGCAGGTGCACCATAGGCACAATCGGAGAACACTATATAAACATCAGAGGTCCGCGTTTGTTCAACGTCCTCCCAGCGACTATAAGAAATATTGCAGAAACAACCGTGGACATCTTCAAGAGAAAACTGGACTTTTCTAAAAGAAGTTCCGGATCAGCCGGGCTGTGGTGGGTATGTGGGCCTGCGGGCCGCTCCAAGCAACAGCCTGGTGGACCAAACTCTCACAAGTCGAGCCTGGCCTCGGGCCGGGCTTGTTGGAAATTTCCAACACTAATAAACTATTGTATTATAATACATCATTATTATATACTAACTACAGTAGTTCCTAATTTTACTAACTGTAGTGTCAACATAAATTAAACCATTTCATCTGCGTATTAGTGCTAGAATTCTCATGAAATCGAGTAGCAACATTGCGTCAGATAATGTCCAGTTAGACACGTATATTACCAATGTGTTAGAGAATTGAATGTGGTTCTCTAAAATTATCAGTATTCCGTGTTATAATTAC